GGCTTAATTCGCTCCATTTTTTGGCTTATTATCTTTGCCCCAATCTATCTCATTTGATCTGAGCTCCAAGAAGCCTTGCAATCTTCAGCAAGACTATCAGTCACGGTCCATTCAGGAAAACAACCACTACAATAGTTATTTTAACAGAGAGGATTCAATATAGGGAATTCCACAGGCACGGGAGGCATAAAAAGGCAAAAAGGGGATTCTGACTTAACACAGACAGTACAACCTCAGGAAGCAACTCCCATTCAAAGGGCTGGGAGAACAAAGGGGACAGGTTGGGTTTGCTGGAACCTCAAAGCTTATGGGAAGGGCTCTGAGGAGAAGGCACAGCCAGGCTAATGTGGTCAACTCCCTTGGTGGGAAGCCCCCCACTTCTACTCGCCAAATTTCTACCAGGGACAAATATGATGACGCCTAACAGCAGCTGCCTAAGATTCTGCAAAATCCTCTATATGCCAACCGCATAAGCTCATACAGGCTAAGGGAGGAAAGTCCAAACATCAGGTGAGCTGGAGGCACGGAGGTGGGGATGGGGATGGGACGGGTCCTTAGGAACTCGTTTATAGAAAGCAGCGAAAAAAAGGAACAATGACCACAGTCTGGTGCTGTCCATGAGGACAGCAGGACAGAACTAAATATTAAAAACTGGGAGCTGTTCCTTGATCACCACCCGGGTGACTTTGCATCCTCTGGCCCTCTCTGACAGCTGGGGACACACCACCAGCAACTGCCCATAACACCACTCCAAACAGGACTGCCTGCTCTGCTTCCAGAAGTGGCACCACCCCAGGAAATCAGGCTGACAGAGCCACTCTCCACCAGACCTTCCGCTGTTATAAAAGGGACTGAGGGTGAGACAATTTTTCTGTCCTCATCACCTGTTCCTTCTAAACCAAGAAAGTGCCCCCCCCCGCTTTTTTTTCTTAGTTAAAAGCCCATTTCCCTAAGAAATCTCTACTCTACATACACATTCACATGGATGAGAACGTTTTGTCCTAACTTCAGAGTCCTACAATTTCCCAATGAAATTTCCCCTTCATTTTGCTAAGTTATCTCTAAAATAATTTCTCTCTATCTTAGAGCTAATGAACATGTAGAGTAGGAATGGCCAGGTGAATAATGTCAGGTGCTCAGGAAACTAGTCTGATGCTCACGCAACCTTGGGGAGAGGCGATGGACAGGGCTGAGGCTCAGCATGGTTTTTCCCCTAGTGTGACTGAAGTAAATCTGTGGGTGCCCTACACAGATCTTCTAACTGGGCCAGTACAGCTGTCCTCCTGAGTGTTGGCTGCTAACTGCTCACACCTACACCCTTCTCCTGCCCTTGGCAGACCATGACTGCCTTGCCTGGGAAGTAATGATGCACTATCTTCAGAGGGCAGCCTAAAACCGATGACAAATGGCTGTGGGAGTATGACAACCCAGCCCCCTTGCTGGGTGTATGCAGGGGATAACCTCTGTGATACATTTCACATTCCAGCGCTCCCCTGAGATCAGGCTCAGGCTAGACTTAATCCAAACCCACATCTTGGCTTGGCCCTTCCCTCAATGCCTGAAAACTTCTTGCACAAGAATCATCATTTCAGGCTCTGCTTCTGGAAAAGTATTTGTAGAATAATGTCCTGCCCAATACCAGTCCTGTAAGATGATCAATAAGAAACGTGTCATGGTCAAACAGTCTGAGCAAGTCTGCAAATTCTGTTTCTCTCCCAGAGTCAAATGCGTAGTAACAGTTCTGAGAAGCACAGCAGTAAAGAAACCCATTTAAACGTGCTTAATCCTGTTAGTACCTATGAATATCATATACTTTAGGAAAACTCACCTAAGCATTGTGCCCCAAGGAGCCAGTCAAGCTCAGGGGGAGTAGGATGTGGCAGAAAAGGGATATTAGGAAGAATCATTGACCTAAAATATTCTAAGTCTGCTCTGAGGCTGCCTGTAGGGTTTCAGTTCAGTTTGGTTGGGGATTAGAGAGAGGATTTGTTCTGTGTCTGACTTGTAACCCTGTAGAAGCATCCAGATCAGTAGCTACATGAGTCCAACCCTGAACATAGACGATGAGGCTTAAACCAACTCAATGGTGTGGAAGCATCATTCCTCTCACCCTATAGGCTCCATTGTTGACCCAGAGTCAAGACCCCTTTGTACCTTGCTGTCCTCAAGAACCACACAGGATGACCATCTCTCCTCCTTCCACTGACAAATGGGAAGAGTGCTGTTTGAATAGAAAACTTCTGGCTTTTTCTTAATTGAAAAAATTCTACAGCCAAATTCAGTCTAGGAACCCAGTTTATCGTAATCCATCTTCTCTCCTCTCTGCTCCAGAAGGGTGTGGGGGAAATTGTTCTGTATTAACAAAGTGGGTTGGCAGGTCCACAGTGATACCAACATGCACATGGCAGTGCCGGAAGATCAGAGGGTGATAAAGGGAGCAGGGTAGGGAAGGTGGAACCAGTCTCTTCTTAGCTGACATTTCTGGCTCGATTCAGGGCGATACTGAAATGTGCTGGAAACCAGTGCCCAATTCCATGAGAGTCTTTCATAATCCTCCTTCTAGGGCCTTGCTCACAATCCATTCCCAGCACTTCCATCTGACTAGACAACGGACACTCTCTGGCTGCTCCTCATGGAGGGTGTTGGGCCTAAATGGACGAGTGGTGATCCCCAGGTGCCTAAGTCCCTACTTTCAGGGAGCTCGAGGCTTTAAAAAGCATCCAAGCAAGGCAGCTGGCTTCCATGCCCAACCTCCAAGGCTACTCTGAAAACTCTGAACCTCCAAATCTCCAAACTGCAAATAAAAAGCCAAAGCACACTGAAGAGAAGGGTTTAAAATGTCTGAATATCTGATTACACAATTCCACTTAATATTATTATATCACATAAGAAAGCTACTTGAACAAGCTGGCTTATACTTAATCATTAATTGAGCTGTCCCCAAATATGAAAAGGCCATGGAAACCAGTGGCTTAGATGTAGATTTGGAAATAAATCAAATAAAAATAAACTTGATCAGAATACTACCAGCTCACATTGTCTGGAAGTGATACCGGTCTAATAAAAAAGACAAATAATAACAAATGTTGGTGAGAATGTGGGACCCTCATACACTGCTGGTGAGAATGTAAAATAGTGCAGCCACTTTGGAAAGCAGTCTGGCAGTTCCTCAAAAAGTTAAACATAGAGTCACCATATGACCCAGCAATTCCACTCCTAGGTATATACTCAAGAGAAATGAAAACATATGTCCACAGAAAAACTTGTACATGAATGTTTATAGCAGCATTATTCATAATAACCCAAAAGTAGAAACAACCCAAATGTCCATCAACTGATGAATGGATAAACAAACATGGTCTATCCATAAAATGGAATATTATTCAGCCATAAAAAGAAATGAGATTCTGATACATCCTACAACATAGATAAACCTTGAAAACATTAATGTAAGTGAAAGAAGACAGTTACAAAAAACTACATATTGTATTATTCCATTTATATGAAATGTCCAAAACAGGCTAATCTTTAAAGATAGAAAGTAGATTGGTGGTGACCAGAGGCTGGGAGGAGACGGGGAAGTTGGAATGTATTAGTTTCCTAGGACTGCCAAGACAAATTACCACAAATTTAGCAGCTTGAAACAACAGCAATTCATTCTCTCCCAGTTCAGGAGGCCAGAAGTCCAAAATGAAGGTGTTGGCAAGGCTGGTTCCCCTTGGGAGCTCTGAGGAAGAATTCGTAACCTGCCTCTCTCCTGGCTGGTTGCTGGCAGTCCTTTGGTGGCCCTGGGCTCAGGGCTTTATAATTTGTAACCCCAATCTCTTCCTCCACCTTCACATGGCCTTCTCTCTGTGTCTCTGCATGTCCTCCTTGTCTGTCTCTTATGCAGACACTCAGCATTGGATTTAATGGCCCTAATCCAGAATGATCTCATTTCAAGATCTTTAATTACCTCTGCAAAGACAATTATTCCAAATAAGGTCACATTTTGAGATTCCAGGTGGACATATCTTTGGGGGCCACAATCCACCCACTTCAGGGGGTGATGGTGTAGGATGCAGTGCTTCTTTTTGGGTGATGAAAATGTTCTAAAGTTGACTGTGGTGATGGTTGCACATCTTGGTGAATATACTGTAAGCCACTGAACTGTGCACTTTAAATAGCTGAATTATACAGCATATGAGTTTTATCTTGATAAAGTGGTTATTTGTTTAAAAAGAGTCACAGCATCTTATTGCACCCCCTATTACTATGAGTAATAGACCTGTTCCGTCATGGAGCTATGGATGATTAAAAACAAATAAACAATCTGGGCAACAGCGGTTTGATTCCTGGCCCAAGCTGAGCTGCCGCTGAGCTGCCAACAGGTGGCAGGATGGCTCAGCTAAAAAAAAAACAAAAAAAAACCCCAAAAAAACCCAAATAAACAAGGCATTGCCTCTCTCCCTGAATCTCTCTGAAAATAGACCTATTGACTATCTCACTCATGAAGTGGTTTTTGAAGGAAAGACAGAAAATGGGCTGGTTAGCAATGTCTTTTCAAAGTCCCTCAGAGCTTAAAGATGATCACAGTAGCCATTGAGTACTGTCTTCCCAAATCAAACTCAATAAGCAACAATAAAAAAACAGTATCCACATAAAGACCATGGGGGCACTAAGCAGTCGGATGCTCCGGGGCTGAAGGAGGCATGCCCCAGGGCAGCCAGTCGCCGGTCGGGAGGAGGAGGACGTGGTGGCGGCAGCCATGGCGGCGGTAGATGGGGCGGAGGAGGACAGCGAGGAGGCCGGACCCACTACCAGTCAGTTAGGCCTCAAGCGGAAGTCAGGCACAGGAGGGCCTCACGGGAAAAAAAGCCCCCCGGGAAGCGCGCCAAAGACAGTTCAGAGTCCGTTTACAAGGCATTCATCGGGGGGAAGACAGCGATGTGCAGATCCGCGCTCTAGGTTAGTCAGGTTACTTCGCTAGCATGTTCAGTGGTGCTTGGAGGGAAGCAACCATGAATACTATAGAGATGCTGATGCCTGACGAGAACATTGATCGTGACGCACTTCACGAGGTTTTAGGCCCCCTGTACCAAGACTCCGTGTTCATCCCACCCAGCCGAGTCCTCTCCATCCTGGCCACCGCCAGCATGCTGCAGCTGGACAAACTAATTCAGCACTGTGGGGAAGTCATGAAGGAGACTGTTAGCGCCCAGACCGTGTGCAGCTACTACTACTCTGCTGAGAGCTACGGCCTCCCAAACGTCAGGACCATGTGCTTCCAGTGGCTGCTGGACAACCTGATGACCCAGCCTAATGAGCAGCTATTGCGAGACGTGAGCCTGGATCTCATGAAAGAGCTCATCGCATCTTCAGAGCTCCTCGTGATGGAGATGGAGATGGACGTGTACACCAAGCTGAAAAAGTGGATGTTCCTGCAACTGCAGCCCACATGGAGGGGTTCCTGCAGAGCCTTATTGCCAGACACCAACTTGTGGTTTGACAGGTCCAAGAGGGAGTCGGGGGGCACCGCTTTCCTGGAGACCCAGCAGGGCAGAGCCTTCGTGCCAGTGTTCCAGCAGCTGCGTCTGGCCTACATAATCTGCAACCTGTCATCAGCACGCACCATCGACCACGATGCAGTGATCCCTGCCACTTGGCTAAACCCAATGTACAAAGATCAGTGGCTTGCCCTCCTCCAAGCTGCGCAAACCAGGTATCTCCAGATCTTTGACATCAATGTGTCTGGCCTCCATCAGAACCGCATGCGCTGTGGGGCCAAGATCTGCAGGGATGAGATGTGCAGCTGGCGTTGGACTGGCTTGAACTTTGGCTGGGACCTGGTGGTGTCCTACACCAACTGGTGCATCATTTGCCGGCGCAGCGTGCTGAACACATGCGGCAGCCTCAGGGTCAGCCTACTCTGCCAGAGAAAGATTGCATTCCGCCTGAGCTTGGCTTCCTTGGACAGGGCTGGAAATGCCGTTTTCAGGAAGGACACAGAATACCAGATCCTTGCCCTGAAAAAGGACCAGGAGCTAGTGGTAGTGGACCTGGAGAACCAAGATGTGGCCTTCCCCATGTATGTGGCCTGTAACTTCCTGTGCCTCCGCAGAAGGGGCACGGCCCACAGTGAGGACTAGCACAAAAGCTCGGAGAACTGAGCAGCTCTTCCCGGGGTACAGGGGTGGCCAGCTTTCTCCAGATGCCAGCTCTCTGCATGGGATCAAGTGGCCTTGCCCATCTCTGATGACCAACTGTCAAAGGCTTTGTTGAACTGTAGTTAATAACACCTGAGACTGTTTACTGGTGCTTATGCAGAGGACACATTTTAAAGCCCTGAAACTTCTCCAGAACTCATCTGTGCTGTTAATGTGGCAAGCTGTCCTCCTGGTTTAACATACATCGACCCCCACATTATTTCTGTGATGACAAAGACCAATTGACTTTAGAGAGAAAACATGAGCCTACCTACTCTACTTCTTAGTGAAATTCTTTTCTTTTAGTTTTATTAAGTGAATGTTAAAATGAATACTTTGACTTCTCTTTTACTCGGTGGGTTTAGAGCAGCCCTGCCTCACTCATCACTCCCACCACAACGGGTTCTATTCTGATTTCTCCCCTTTCCCCATTTCCTGCCATTGACTGTAGTACTTGGTTTTCATGGTCTCTCACTATGTGATCACAGCCAGAGTACACTGATGATTTTTTTGTTGGTTGTTCTTTAACCTAATAGTACCTTGATGTTGGTGGGACTTTCCTATTATTTCCCTAGCATTTTCACCCCCAAAAGACATTTCCAGCTGCCACCATCTCATTCCCTCCCAAATACCCTACTTGTTTGCATTTCATTGAGTGGTTGTTGTGCTTAAAGAAGGTCAATGCCTTGAAAACTCTGTTTAAGAGTCCATACAAAGAATAAATATATGCTTTGAAAGAGTGTACAAAACAAAACAAAACAAAACCGGTATCCATTGCTTGGCACTATATTGTTATAAATTATTATTTAGATGTCCTTGAAAGGCAAATAATTTTCCATCAATGTTTATCTACTACTCAGTACATAATGTAACTACTAAGCATATGAGGCCAAATACTAAGATTAAGGTTCAGATAGCAGAATATCTCTTACCTTGATTTGGTCCATTACTGAAAATCCGGGACTTGTCTGGCTGTCCGATTTTCACAGGGTAGAGACGTATGATGATGTCTTTCATGCTTTTAAAATGTTCTGAAGGGAGCAAAGCCCACAGAAAGTCAGCAGCCTTGAGTCTCCTATTGATCTCCGGAGAGAGTGAGCTCCAGTTCAGACGCCACCTCCTCCACGAAGGCCTCCCTGATGCCTTGGACACGGCTCTCTTCCCTATATACTCCTGTGGTACTTGGTATAGTCCTCGCTGCATAGCCTGGTTCAGAGTAGATATTTAATAAATTGGTTTAATATAAACTGAATAAAGTATGTTTTACAGGAAATTATGTGGAAGCCACCTATGTGGTATACCACCTATGGAAACTTAAATTTTCTAGTAGCCCCATTTAAGAAGATAAAAAGAAACAGGTGAAATTAATTTGAGTGATATATTTTATTTAACCAAATATACCCGAAGTATTATCAAGACAATATTCCATCACTATAAAAAACTTTAATGAGCTATTTTCTTTTTTTAATGCATTAAGTCTTTGAAGTCCAGTGTGTGTTTTACACTCTCGGTACATCTCAATTTGGACCAGTCACATTTCTAGTGCTCAGTAGCCACATGTGGCCAGCGGCTACCATATTGTGTAGCACAGACTTAGGGCATCGGCTACACAGTAGCCACTATGCTGAGCACTTTATACCCATATCACCATAATAAAAACAATGATAATCAGCCTTACTGCATGCTTCATGCAAGCTAAGCCAGGCATTATGCTAAGAGCTTCACTTAGATTATTGAATTAATCTTCACAGCAGTTCTATGACTACACAGCATTATTATGCTTACTTTCCACATGAGGGAACTGGGGATTAGGGATGTTAACAAACTAGCCCAAAGCTGTACAGCTAGCAAGGTGCCAGGCCAGGAAGCCTTAGGCAGAAGCTGCCCTCATGAAAAGCTTCCATATGGTCGTCCCAAATCCTCACACCCATCTTGCAAAGCAGGTTCTTAGTATGAGTCGTTTTGAAAAATAAGTCTCCCTGTATACTCTTCCGGTTGAGTTAGTAAAGACGGAGCCCCAAATACACATTCATTTTGGCCAACTATATCCTCACCACCATATCATTGACTGCTTATTATACTATTAAAAACAGGGTGTGAGCTCAATTGCACCCATCTATTTGCCTTTAGTTCAGAAGTAAAAGATAGTAATTTACTTCCCTATTAATTTGATTTATGATTCCCAGTTATTCAGGTTGTTAATTTTCAAGCAGAGATCAGGACAGGAAATGGCTGTTTTTACTTCTACCCATGTTTTGCAATGTGATTTAAGTGGTTCTCACAAAGGCTACGATCCTTTAAACCACATCACCTTCAACCTTCTCCAGTAGCATGCAGGGCATTGGAAAATAGCTGTTTTATGGAAAACAAGGACATTAAGGTCTTGTGGCAATGTCCATACTATTTGGACATAAGATCCCTAATATTAGGTATGTTTTTCATTCTCTATGGGGCAGGGAGTGAAGAAAGCAAGAAGAGAGGGCCGGCCGAGTGGTGCGTTGGTTAAGAGTTGGCTTGGGATGCCAGCTCTGAGCAGCAGGGCCCCGGTTCGGATCCTACATGAGGGCCAGTGATGCTGCGCCCTCTACAGCTAAGATGGTGAACAACAGCTTGACCTGGACCTGGTCTGCCGTGAGTCGCTGGCAATGATAGGCTGCAGTGGGGTTGGACGGCAGCTGGTGTGTGCTTTCGTGAGCTGCCGTCCAATGGCTGGCAAGCGACTGCCTCACCCGGGAAGAGCACAATGATAATACCAACATGGGCCAGAGAAGCGACGTCCTCCACAACTAGACTGAAGAACAAAAGGACAGCAACTTGTCTGTTCCCCTTCCCCGATTCCCCAACGCTGTTCCCCTCCCCCAATTCCCCAATAAAATCTTAAAAGAAAAATAGAAAAGTTATATGATCCTTAGTTGCAGGTTCTGAAGTTTCTGGTATCATGTAAATTCCACTGTTTTGCCTGCTCAGTAAGGCTGATTTTAAAATGTGATGGCCAACCAATGATTTTGAAGTGATAGTTTCTCAGATTTTAGGGTTTAATAAGAATCACTTGGAGATGCATATAAAAATGCAGATTTTTGCCCAATTTTCTGAGATGTTGATTCAGTATGTCTCTCCCCAATAAAGCAATGAGAAAACTGGTAAAAATTTTCCAGAATTCTAGAAATTAGCCAAAATCTTGCACCAATCCAGAGAGCATTTATTCAAAAAAAGTGGCCAAATCTTGGTAAAGATGGCAAGCACTATGGCCTTTTAAAATTATCTAATCATCTCTCTCCATCTCCACAGTAACTTTGAAAACCAGTAGCCTAAAGTCATGGGGGAATCCAGTAGTCTGGCAGCCAGCAGAGGGAGCTGGGGTTGTAGCTCCTTCAAAGCCTCCTTCCGAAAGAATGAATTCTCCTGATTTGACGTGTATCGTGGTTCGTTGGAATTCCACTTGCAAGGCAGTCTTTATTTCACCTGACTTGAAGTTCACCCAGTGAAAAGAGCCTTTTCCCCAGGGACATTTGTCAAAAACATTTAAAGACAATTGTTTAATTTCATGGTTGCCTGAGGTGTGGATAACAGCTGTGGTAAACTATAGGCTTTATTAAAAAAAAAGAAGAAGAAGAAGAACTTTAAAGGAAAGCTGGGTTATGAGATTTTCACAGAGCTATGATGAGCTCCAATACATTCTTGGGAATTTAGAAAGCCATATATGTTGGATTATGTGCAAGCTCAAGAATAACACGAGAGAGCTCTAAATTCTCACCTCTGGCTGATCATGAGGCTCTGCACAAGCAGGAAGTAAAGGATAAGACGGAGCTATCAACTGCCTGGCTGAGAGTACTGAAAGCAAACCTCAATATGCACACAAAGCCCTTTGGCAAACACTTATTGGTTCCAAGCACTTATAAAAATCTTTGTCCAATAATTAGTTGACGCTAAACAAACCAAGCAGAGACCTTAATGGCCAAACATGACCAAGGAATATAGATTTTTACAGAAATACTTCAGAAAGGTCATTAAACAAACAAACAAACAAACAAACAAACAAAAAAACTAAACAATAATGACAAACAGCAACAACAAATCCTGGTGGGAGAGTATAGAGAAATCTGATTTCTAGATTTACCAGGTGATATTACTTAAAATGTCCAGTTTTCAATTAAATATTATGAGACATACAAAGAAACAAGAAAGCATAGTCAATACACAGTAAAAAAGCAATCAATAAAAAATGTTCTTGAAGAAACCCAGACATTGAACTCAATAGACAAAGACTTTAAATCAGCTATCTTCAATATGCTCAAGTAACTAAATGAAACATTTATTAAGAATTAAAGAAACATTTGAGAATGCTATCTCGCCAAATAGAAAATATCAAGAGAGAGAATTTATGAAAAAGAACCAAATACAAATTCTAGAGTTGAAAAGCATAATAATTGAAATGAAAAATTCACTAGAGGAACTCATCAACATATTTGAACAGGCAGAAAAAAAGAATCAGAGAACTTTAAGAGGTCAACTGAGATTATCCAGTCTGAGGAAGAGAAAGGAAAATGAATGAACAAAAGTGAACAGAGCCTCGAGATCTCTGAGTCACCATTAAGTGTGTCAACATAATGGGAGTCCCAGAAGAAAAGGAGAGAAAGGAGAAAAAAGAATATTTGAAGAACAATGGTTGAAAACACCCCAAATTTGATTTTTTAAAAAATTAATCTGTAGGGCCGGCCGAGTGGCGCGATGGTTAAGAATTCGCTTGGGATGCCAGAGGGCCCCGGTTCGGATCCCACATATGAGGGCCAGTGACACTGCCCTCTACAGCTAAGATGCTGAACAACAGCTCA